GGTCGCATCCATGTGCAGAGCTGCGGGGCTGCACGTGGGGCGAGTGTGCCATCTAGTGCTCCCGCACGCCCCGTCATCCCGCATCCTCCTGCACTATCCCGCATCCCGCATCCTCCCGCATCGTCCCTCCGGACCGCGCAGAGCCCCGCAGGCGGCTGCGGTGCTGGCAGGGCTGGGCTCGGCCCCAGCCCCTCTGCAGCCTTTCACACGAGGCCGCTGCTCGCAGGTGGGCGAGCGGGTGCCAGCAGGGCCCAGTCCCCATCCCGCCCCCAGCACTCGGCCCCGCGGCGGCTTTGGGGCGCTGACTGAGCCCCCCCCGGTGCCGAGCAGCTCAGCCCAGGCCAGAGCGGTTCCAGGCACTGCAGGGCGGACACAGACACGGGACCCCAGGACCCGCACCGGGCAGGGGCTTGGGCAGCCCAGTGGGATGTGCAAAGTCAAACACCTTTATGACACCAGCCGAGGGGACGGGGGAGCCTTCCTCCACCCCGGCAGTCCCGGTGCCGGCGCCCCCAGGAGCCCCCGGAGCCGCTGGGGTCTCACCCCGGGTATGCCAAAACCCCCTTCACCCCCTTTAATAGATCAAGTGACCAAATGAATAGAGTACAGAAAATTAACCCTTTTTATTGATGCATTGCAATTGTTCTACATTTTTACCATATTATGTAGAAAATACTTAAAATACAAGCTACTTTGTAAAACCAAAGACAAACATTGAATCCAAAGATAAACTATGTTTTCACAATGGACCCTTTTCCCATATAGTTAGTATTAAATTTTTAAATATCTATTTCTTTTGTTAAAATGATTTTTACATACCCCCTAAGTACATCAGCAATACAAACATAGATCAGTAATTGTCAGAAACTACCTGTATCTAGCGGCTTGTAAAAAGGAAGAGCACAACCATAAAAGAAAGTTAAATTTTACACAGTAACTAGCATATCAAATACATTTAATAAAGTAGGAATTCCATTGCAATATCAAGGATTCAAGCAGAAATACTAACATTACATATAATGTACTGCTACATGTAGTGAGATAGATATATTTCAAGCTGAATCTGAAATCACACATTATATAAAGTTTAGCAACAAACAACCATGTGGACATGCGGCACCATTCAGAAGTTTAAATAAAAAAGAAAGCAGGGCTGTGCCAATCCTGTCATTTAGAAGCAATTTAGTTTCGTGTACTAAAAGAAATGGCTGAGTCAGAGGTAAATTGCTGCATCCCATCACTAGGTGCTAAGCAGGAAAGCCTCGAAGTTGCCTCTGCGGTGGGTATCACAGCTCGAGGGCGGGTGATGGAACAACTGATTGAACAGTTCAAGAACCACACAGATAGGTCTAGATGGGACCACGGCAGTCGAATATTCAACAGGTGAATCCCAAACTAGTTTTAAAAGAACCTAAAGGACTCCAATTTCTATTCCGATAGCACATTTCTCTACAAACGATGTGTAGCGGCTCCGACATGAGGAGAGTGGGTGCTTTAACCTGGGGCAGGCTGGGTGCCCGGAGGGAAGGGACGTGTCCCTTGGAGCAGACAGTGCGCTGCCGCGGCCACGGCCACGCTGGGCCCCGCCACACGTGTGGAGCCGGTGCCAGGGTGGGGTTTGCTTTGCTTGGCTCGTGCCGTGTATCACAGAGGAATTTCGGGGTAATCGCCCGCCTGTTTCAGACGGAGCACGTTTGATCTTACCTACGTCACTTCCACCTCGTCCTCCTCCCCCAACACTTGTGGACGCGGGGGCAGCGGAAGGGCTGACGCGGGGCTCAGAGCACATCCCCTCGGGTTCGTCAGGCAATAGGGGCTCTCAAGATAAGTGGTAGCTTTAATCTGCTTTTGGGGGGGGGGGGGAGCGGGCAAGTCCTCAAAATCAGTAGCAGATTTCACAGAGGCCTTTTTTCTCCTGTTAGGACTTCATGGAAAACACTTTACTATTGGTGAAACGGGGAATAACGTTTTCCTGAAAGAGAGGAATTGGAGCTTGTTTTGCCTTTCGAGGGAAAGGCACAACTCTGTACCCAGGAGGTACCTCACGGGAAGTACTGAACACAAGCAATGGGATATGGAAAAAAGAAAGGAAAGTGCCTACAGCAACAAACAGCATCGTTGACACCAATGATGTGGCACAGCAAGACAGGCTGGTTGTCCGCACACTTACAGGAGTGCTCTGACTAAGAATACACTGAACAACAACGTCGCTAATGCTACCGTCCAGTTCCAAAGTCCTTGATCCCTCTATCGAAAGAGATGCCAAACCTTTAACAGTTCACCAGTTTCAGGCCAGTCCAGACCTCCTCCTATCAATAATGTGGAATTTCAGAAATTACTTTTGCACTTCTTGTCACATACGGGCCAGAGAACTGGCCTCTTCTCCACTGGGACGGAACACAAACTGGGATTCAAGGTTACCAAAACCTCTTATTGCTGCAGTAAGACGACCGCTCGAGCCAGTTTATCACCCATTTGGACAAGATACTTAATCTACGTGCCGAGGATGAGAAATAATTCCTAGTACAAGGGACCCAAGAAAACAAAAGTGTAGTTTAAAAACTGCACTGATTATCCAAAATGCCTATTTCCTCTGAAACACTACCTAGGGCTACAGCTGACAAACCCTCCCAACAACTCCACATTAGCAGTAGCATTATAAAACTTTTTAATGGTATTATGTGCTTTACAGCAGGCTCTCTTTGGTATAAATAATCTATCACCAAGCTAGCAATATTTTACAAGAAAACGTCTGCTATTAACGTGGGGGAAGGTAAGGTCATACTAATCTAATAAAAAGTGATTGCACATATTTAATCACTTCTGCAATATTAGACTAAACATTCCAATGCATTCCCAGCACTACCTTATTCGAAATGCACTGACAGACATCTAACAGTACATGTGCCATTTCAAGGAAAAGCTTTAAGGAAACATCGCTTCACTCCGAACAAAAATGTAGCTTTTTATGATAGCATTAAAACTGAGAACAATGCACCTAGGCAACATACTGCTGTTCTTGCTGTGATAAGCTTAGTGAATTGCTTCAATTCGACGGGGGCTTGCTGGTCCCTCATAAGGCAAGCTCACTGTAAACTCTAGTCACACTACATCATCATTTAAGGCACTACAATAAGGGGACACACCAAACAACTCTTCATCACACATACCTGTGCAAAACAAATCAGAAGGTATCCTTTCCTCTCACGAAGCTCTACTCCTCTCTCAGTGCTACAGTGATGAGCTCTAACCATTGCATTATATCACATACATTCCAACATGAATCAATTCATTTTGGTTTAAATACAAAGGATACATCAACTCCATCCCCAGGAACGTTTAAGAATTAGACAAACACTAAGTACAGAGTTCAAGTATAATCACTACACATTTTGATTACAAAGACAGAACATTTGGGGTTAGCAGGAAGTTTTGCTTGTTATATTTTTCTAATCAATATGTACATATTTAATTTTATGTAAAATATTAAAACACCACCAATACAAAACTTCTAAAATAGTTTTAAATTCAGTAATAAACTTTAAAATCTGGAATTTTTTTTTCCTTTTTTCTTTTTCTTTCTCTTTTTTTTTTTTTTGTGATTCCTACATGCATGTACTGTATACAAGTCTTAGTAAGAGCGCTTTAAAGTAGCTGTTGACATATCCAGGAGGATACGCTCACAGGAGTATAAAAAGCTGTACACATCAATACAGTGATGTTTCGTTGTATTTCAAATTCAACTCCCTCCTAAATGAATCACGTGAGGAAAAATATTAAGAAAAACAGAAAAGAAAAGCCCTGTGCTTCTGTGAAGGAATCCAGCTCCGTTTAGGGCCAGCATCTAATAAGCTGCAGAAACCAAATTTGAGAGCAAGGCTGCGCTATTCGTTCTCAGCTGAAGACTACAGCATCCCGACAAAGCTGCTGAGCTGTTACACAGTGAGATCTGGAACACAGTCTGAAAAACTTAGCAGAATTCTGCAATGAATGCAAAAAAAAATTCAGCTGTGTTATGGAGAGACAGAATCTTCAAGAAAACAGGACAGATTCCAGGGGTTACACAGACTCCTGAATAGATCAGGTGGCCAGTAGGAGGCAGCTGCCTCTACCAGTCCTTAAACAGAGCAGAGAAGTAAACAAAAAACTTTTGACAGTAACACATACGGAGATGTAATGGCTTTTGCAGAACCAGCGATATGCTAGAGACAAAGTGAATCAGAGAACAACTGTTAAAATATTGAACTTGATTTTAAAACTGCCCCAGCAACACAACAAGATAAATGTGCATTACAATTTTAGTGGCAACATGGATTTGTGCAAGCTGCTAAAATATAATCTGCTAGTCTTTTTGTTTAAGTTATACAAGTTAAAAAAGTCATCAGGATCTGTCTTCCAAGACACTGATTTTCTTTCCTCTTTTGATTAGCACAACAGAACAATTTTAAATAAACGTGACCATGAACTTTTTAAAAGCATCTATAAAAAGTAAGTAAAATTTTAAAAACTTAATTAGTGACCCTCGTACTGGTAACAAAGCATGCTGCTCAGTGACTGAACTCACCGGAGACGTTTTTGAACAACATACAACCAGATCAGGGAGAAACAAAAACCAGGCAATCATTACCAGGTCAAGGTTCACCTGAAATCCTTCTCCGATCTCTCAGGCCTATTGCAGGACAGTGCGTTGCCAGGAACTACAAGTAGGAGTACTGGTTGATCTTTGTGGGGCTCAGCGGGTATCCAGTGTAAATAGCAGATCCTCTGGAAGCACCAATATAGGACTGGGGAGCAAACTGGTGTTGGTACTGGGCGGGCGGCACGTTTGCGGACGTCAGGAGGCTGGGGCCGACGCTGACGGGGACCTGGTGCACGAGGGTGCCGGGGTGGGCGGCGTAGGCGGCGTGGCGCGAGGAGCCCTGAGGGGAGAAGAGGTGGGCGATGGAGGTGGTGGAGCCCAGCGTGGCAGCAGTGGTCGGGGCGTAAGTGTACACGTGCGGCTGGCTGGAGAGGTGCGCGTTGGCCGTCGCTGCTGCCAGGTGGGGATGCACCGGGCTGCTGTGCTGGAACGTGTAGGAAGCCTGAGAAATAGTTGACGGGAGGGGCGCCACGTACGCCTGCTGCCTACGGGGGACAGCGTTTCCACTCCTCTCCTGGGAGGCCAGCACTGTTGGTTGCTGGTTCTGCAGGGAGAAGAGGTAAATCGGGTTAGCGGCCTCCTGTGGGGAGAGCGCCGGGGCGGGCGGGAGCAGGGGCCAATGC